CACGGCAGCGGAAAACCGAAATCGGAACGGCCACAATGTGTTATAGAGAGCGAGAGTTTAAGTTTCTTATTTGAGTGCCTTCTTCTACGACGACCGGCAAGAGCGGTGTCGTAGGTCGATCCTTTGCGTCCCTCGTCGTCCTGCTGCCCTTCCTTCCTCCGGGTTAGCGCGGGGAGCTTTGGGGTACACTCTTTTAAGGACGCGGGGACTAGACCACCATCCCGACTAATTCGCAAACTTCCTTCGAGGGTCCTTCCCTTCCTCTTAAATGCCTTCCGGCCTCACCTCCTATTCTCGCGACCCGAGACGCAAAACGCACCAAAACAATATGATCCGAGCGGAGTCACGCCTTGTGACGGGCGCCTTTAGGGGCCGCCACGTCACAACTCCCCTCTTCCCGGGGAAAGACTGCAGGTCGGGGGTTTCTGGTCACCGCTTTGATCAATCGTTCGTTTCTATTGTTTCGCTTAGAACTCATGTGACCTTCGCGAGTCCCCCTAATCACTCTGTCTCCCTTCATTTCCCCGATATCGCCCTCCGCATGTGAAGTGGAGAGCCCGAGGGGTATGACTTCCCTCCTCGATTCCTTCGTCTCGCTTCCCCTTCCCTTGACCAACTTTCCCCTTGACTGGTGGGTAGGGAATCGGGACGTTGAAGGGTTTCCGACACTAAAGGAACACTCATTTGTTTTCCGGTTAAGTAGCCAGTCTTTATTCGTTGTTCCTCGGCTCCTATCTCTCTCTGACAAACATTCCTCGAGGAGGGTAACTCGGGCACAGAGAGGACGATAACGGTAACAGAGCGAAACTCGAAAAAAAACCGACCAATACAAAAGAATAATAATAAAAAAAAAAGTTAGTCCTCCTCTCCTGCTTTCTGGTTAACCGAAAGAGGGGTAGATCACAAAAAACCAAAAAGAAAAGATTAAAAAAAAACGGGAGCGGTGCACTTGGACACAGTACAATTGGACACGTTGCAAATGGACACGGCATTTGACACACAGTTCAATTGGACACGGTGCGTTTGGACACGAAACTTTTGGGCATCGTTGTTTTTGGACACAAAAGAAAATGCACGTCGTTCAGTTACACACCGTTCATTTGGACACCGTTCAGTTGGACACCGTTTACTTGGACACAGTTCAGTTGGACACCGTTCAAGTACCCACTGTTCACTTGGACACAGAAGGATGCTCACTGTTCACTTGGACACCATTCACTTGGACACCGTTCATTTGGACACCGTTCACTTGGACACCGTTCACTTGGATACTGTTCAGTTGCCCACTGTTCACTTGGACACAGAACGATGCGTGCTGTTCATTTGTACACTGTTCACTTGGACACCGTGGAATTGCTTATCTGTTCACTTGGACACAGAAGGGTGCGCACTGTTCACTTGGACACCGTTCATTTGGACACTGTTCACTTGGACACCGTTCATTTGGACACCGTTCACTTGGACACTGTTCAATCACCCACTGTTCACTTGGACACAGAAGGATGCGCACTGTTCATTTGGACACCGTTCACTTGGACATCGTCCAGTTGCCTGCTGTTCATTTGGACACAGAATGATGTGCACCGTTTATTTTGTCATCATTTAATTATATATCATTTGTTTATGCAATGAATATGCAACTGATGAGAAATAAAAAATAGTTTTGTAGAAAATATTTGTGTTTTTATTTCGTTTTTATCACATCCAACCACAACGCCATATGCCTAGAGATATTCTAGAGACTCTATAAACAACGACATATGATTGGATGTGTCCGTTTGTCAATGTGCGCATCTAGGACTCACTCCGATTTTCGTACTATTATTTGTGATGTAGAGTGTAAATTGTGGTTTTGATAATTATTTAGTTTAGCGGCAACACCTCCGATTTCGATGAAAATAGACTCAATCGACGCGTTTTTGTATG